TATAAAATTATAAAAAATAAACTTTGGCTTATACAACTATTTTATCAGTTGAAAGTTTGCGTGAAAAAATTTTATAATTGCTTATGATTATAGAAAATGCGAATTGGATATTTTGATTATTGGCTTAAAAATAAATTATAGAATAAACCCATTTTATTAATTAGACTTTTATATAAAATCACATTATATTCAATGTTCTTTAGATCATTTGAATATTTATAACCTTTAAATTAGATCAAATGACTATTAGAGCATTTGCATAAACGGGGATAAACAGGCGTCTCTAATTGGAATAGTGGCGCATACTATAGCTGATTCATATATTTAGAGAGTAAAGTTCATTTTCATAAATATTTTCCGGTATAACATTTATAGATATTAAGCATTAAATTTTGATTTTTTAATAAATATTAAAGATTAATGGGCATGTTATGAGAAAATTAATTAATATACATTTTTTTCCTTTTTTGTAAAAGAAACTTGACGTTTTATAAAAAAAAATGTGATTGATCAAAAATTTTTTGTTTTATTTCTAAAAAAGACTTGGATTTTAATTAAAAATTGTAATTTTGAATTGTACAAATTATTTCCTTTTAAAGAAACAAACAAAACTAAAACATTCTCAAAACAGAATCAAGAAGTGCGGTGATTAGATTAATGTTAGTCATGCAAAAGTTTTGGCTCTTCTTTTTTTATTCTAAAGGAAACTAATAATTTTGTACACGAAATTTCCAATTTTAATAAAACTTTTTCTTGAAAAAAAACTTTATACAAAATATAATTTTTCAGCAACATTTTTAAAACCACACTAGAAAATGGATTTTTTCCCCTTTATTTTATTATAAAAATCTAATAAAATTGTCAGTTCAAATGAAAATTTCTAAAACAAATTTGGGATTTTTTTTTTAGAAAGAATTTTTTAATTTGTGAACAAACATGTGTAATAATTATTATAATATAAAATACGCTCAACTGGTATACATTTTCCATTTCCTAATCCTAATCTTTTAAAACTCTTAGTTGCGGATTTTAGTTGAATAATGGTCGTTACCGTTGTCAAATTATAAAATTATGAAAATTTATTTCCTTATTTATTTTTAAAAAAATGTATTTTAAAAAAAAACCTGAAATTTTTTTTAAAAATTGCAACTGTGATGCATTGCCAACAAATTTAAACTTTTTTTTGAAAAATTGTTAAACATGAAAAGAATCCAATTTAATGAATAAAAAAAAGTGCATCAACACAAATGAAAAGATAAAAGCGGATTATTTATTTTCAAAGAATTATAATTGTTGAATTTTTTTACAAATGGTTTGTCCGTAACAATTAAATAGAATACATCTAGGACTGTAATTTAATTTTTATATTAATAAACAAATAAAAAAAATACACTTTTATATAATCATTTCTCAACAGCGGGAGAATGTTTTCATTATTTTCTGCATGTCAAACAATATTATAGAAAAGCGGCCGTAATTTGTCGCCGACATGGGGCACTTTCTTTGTGTTCCGTATGGACACATTTTTATATTATTTTATTAAATCACATGCTTACATTTCTTTTAATATATGAGACGCATGATAATCAAGTAATATTAAGGACATCTGCCAAGATGATATTACCATTTTAAATTATATTTTTTTAAATTAAAAACTCATAGGTAAAAATTGTTTAAAAAAAAAGTACAACTTTGTATATATTTATATATGTGTATAATTTAAAACGTATTTTCTTTTACTCTATATAAAAAGTTGACTTTGTTATCGTTTTGAATACTATATAGTGCTAAATGGAGTCATTTTCATCGTGGCACATCTTCTTAATAGAATTTCTTTTTGTTTTTTTTTTTTTTTTTTTTAATCAGTCGTTATTTGGTTTAATACGAATAGCGAGATATATATATATATATTTACGTGTACCGATCTACTGTTGCGCACGAGAGTCACCATCATTATTTCCAACAAAACATTTTTCTATTTAGTTTTAAATACAATTTTGAATAATTTTTGTTTCTTCTTTATAATCTAATGCACACAATATTATATACATACATAATGCATACATACAGTCGTTTATATTTCTGTGTTCACTATAATAGTGATATTTTATAAGAATATTTCAAATTAATGGTCATTTTTTTTTTTTTTTTTTTTTTTTTATACCTCAAATATATTATTTTTTATTAAAAATTTACAAGACTATTTTTTAACTTTAAAGACAACTTAATTTTTTTTATCATCAGAGATCGTTGACATGTATGTATTTTCTCAACATTTTTATTTTATCATTAGTATGCTAAATTAATTAATTTTTTCTCAAACAGATAAAAAACACTTTTTTATGTGTGTGCAGTCTATAATGGATGGAGAAAGAGAGCAATGGTCGACGAAAAGGGGGTTTTTGTTACGCTATTATTATTGAGTTAGTGTTTAGAAATAGCACAATTTTTTAAACAAGAAATACTTTTTTTTTTTTAAAAAATACTGCTCATTTCTAAACACATTATATGTGAGACGATTCTATAAGAATCAAAATGATTTCTTCTTTCGTTAGTATTCGCAAATTGTAATGTCGAGATTCTCAGAAAACTGCTCTTGTTTTTGACATTAGTTTTTTTTTTTTCTTTTCTTTTCTTATTCAAGTTGACCAAAATTGTTGAGCATTATATTATGTATGAATATATGTATGTATGTAAAAATGTTTATACATCAAAGAGGGAAAATAGGGTTTTTTAATTCGTTTCAAAAAGTGTAATTCTTATTTCGTTTTGTTGTTAGTAATAATGCACACGCAATCTAATGATGAGAAATAATTTTTTAATTGTAGCGTGTATTGCGCGTACGTGTCATTTTCTGACTAATTTGCTCTTCCTGCAAAAGTTGACTGCGAAATTTACAAACTTGCTCCAAAGCATCATTTAGTTTGTCCCTTTGTCGAATTAAAAGCTGCTCCCATTTTTCTGCATAAGCTGTAACAAAAAGCATTTTTATTTTATCGTTATAATATATTGTTTTATGGAAAATGGTGTTTTTCTTATTAAAAAGTCATTATATTTTTTAGTATCCCAAAAAATAAGCTTGCGACGAATTTAAAATGAATAAACTGTTGATGAATATTACGGATAAAAAATAAATATATTAACGTTGAGTATATTTATTCAAGTTTTCCAGTCATTTTTTTTTTTTTTTTTTTTTCTTTAAAATAATAATGTATTAATACTTTTTTTGAAGATTAAGATTTTTTTTTACTTAAATTGTTAATAATATATGAAGCTGATTTATTATGCATTAGAGACATTTGAAGCAATAATAATATAAAGATATAATAAGCGTGTAAGGAATAAAATTTTGCATTTTCTGTAAATAGTTATTGAATCAACACACAATGAAAATTGTAGAAATGATACATTTTACAGAAAAAAATAAATAGATTATTATGTACAACTCTCTATTGTCTTGTGGAATGTTATTGTTATAAAGCAATAAAGAAATTCCAAAAATTGTATTTCCGACATTATTTTTATCAAGTCAATTATTACTGTTCTTTTTGTCTGCGACATTGAGAAAGTGAAAAGCAGTAAGCACCCAAGTAATCATATGAAATAATGTACGACGTTTCTTTTATTAAAGCGGGGCATATTAACCAATAAAATGAACAAGTGTCAAATGATATTCTTTATTAGTATATGATACAGATGTATATTATAAACTGTGTAATCAAGTATTAATATAACATAATTTGAAATTAAAATTTCATATGACTGTAGCATATTACTAATTTATACATGTGTATTCGTACCATCTGAAAATTGCTTTCTCTCAATGAGGCGCTTACGTAAAGAGAACCTCCTCCTCAAGTAGGGTGAATCGAATTTTGTTCTTTTCCGTCTCATTTCTGTAATTTTGTTTTTGTTCTAATTATATATTTAATTTATTATGCATCATTATTATTTGAATTATCATAAAAATTCATTACTTTGATCATTTCAATCAACTGCGTTTATAATCGCAACACAAGAGTACAATTTTACTCTTTTTGATTTTGTATTTTTTGAAATTAATCTTTTTTTTCAATTATAACAGTGCAAGTTACAATTTTTTATTAAAATAATTATTTAAATGGTTTCAAAAAAAAAACGATGAAAGGTGTTAGTTTAGTTAATTATAATATACTCTGCGATATATTGTTTGTATTTTAAATTGTCTTATCAAATGATTTTTTAAGAGAAATAAATATAATAATGTAAAAAGTTGGTAATAAAAGGAATAATATAACATTTTGCATTATAGCCATTATGAGGTAGTCCTTTTTTTTATTATTTTTCATTATGTGTCTTTTTCCCATTGCAGTTTTTTCACCATTATTTTCTTCTGCTCCTTCTTCTTCTTCTTCTTCTTCTTCTTCTTCTTCATCATCTTCGTATTGATCAATTTGTTTCATTTTACTACTACTGTTGTTGTTGTTGTTGTTGTTGTTAATTATAAAATCTGACATCAGCGTCACATTACTTAATAAAATTGCATTGCTTTGTACATGTTGATTCATTTTTAAAACCACACTAGAAAATGGATTTTTTCCCCTTTATTTTATTATAAAAATCTAATAAAATTGTCAGTTCAAATGAAAATTTCTAAAACAAATTTGGGATTTTTTTTTTAGAAAGAATTTTTTAATTTGTGAACAAACATGTGTAATAATTATTATAATATAAAATACGCTCAACTGGTATACATTTTCCATTTCCTAATCCTAATCTTTTAAAACTCTTAGTTGCGGATTTTAGTTGAATAATGGTCGTTACCGTTGTCAAATTATAAAATTATGAAAATTTATTTCCTTATTTATTTTTAAAAAAATGTATTTTAAAAAAAAACCTGAAATTTTTTTTAAAAATTGCAACTGTGATGCATTGCCAACAAATTTAAACTTTTTTTTGAAAAATTGTTAAACATGAAAAGAATCCAATTTAATGAATAAAAAAAAGTGCATCAACACAAATGAAAAGATAAAAGCGGATTATTTATTTTCAAAGAATTATAATTGTTGAATTTTTTTACAAATGGTTTGTCCGTAACAATTAAATAGAATACATCTAGGACTGTAATTTAATTTTTATATTAATAAACAAATAAAAAAAATACACTTTTATATAATCATTTCTCAACAGCGGGAGAATGTTTTCATTATTTTCTGCATGTCAAACAATATTATAGAAAAGCGGCCGTAATTTGTCGCCGACATGGGGCACTTTCTTTGTGTTCCGTATGGACACATTTTTATATTATTTTATTAAATCACATGCTTACATTTCTTTTAATATATGAGACGCATGATAATCAAGTAATATTAAGGACATCTGCCAAGATGATATTACCATTTTAAATTATATTTTTTTAAATTAAAAACTCATAGGTAAAAATTGTTTAAAAAAAAAGTACAACTTTGTATATATTTATATATGTGTATAATTTAAAACGTATTTTCTTTTACTCTATATAAAAAGTTGACTTTGTTATCGTTTTGAATACTATATAGTGCTAAATGGAGTCATTTTCATCGTGGCACATCTTCTTAATAGAATTTCTTTTTGTTTTTTTTTTTTTTTTTTTAATCAGTCGTTATTTGGTTTAATACGAATAGCGAGATATATATATATATATTTACGTGTACCGATCTACTGTTGCGCACGAGAGTCACCATCATTATTTCCAACAAAACATTTTTCTATTTAGTTTTAAATACAATTTTGAATAATTTTTGTTTCTTCTTTATAATCTAATGCACACAATATTATATACATACATAATGCATACATACAGTCGTTTATATTTCTGTGTTCACTATAATAGTGATATTTTATAAGAATATTTCAAATTAATGGTCATTTTTTTTTTTTTTTTTTTTTTTTTTATACCTCAAATATATTATTTTTTATTAAAAATTTACAAGACTATTTTTTAACTTTAAAGACAACTTAATTTTTTTTATCATCAGAGATCGTTGACATGTATGTATTTTCTCAACATTTTTATTTTATCATTAGTATGCTAAATTAATTAATTTTTTCTCAAACAGATAAAAAACACTTTTTTATGTGTGTGCAGTCTATAATGGATGGAGAAAGAGAGCAATGGTCGACGAAAAGGGGGTTTTTGTTACGCTATTATTATTGAGTTAGTGTTTAGAAATAGCACAATTTTTTAAACAAGAAATACTTTTTTTTTTTTAAAAAATACTGCTCATTTCTAAACACATTATATGTGAGACGATTCTATAAGAATCAAAATGATTTCTTCTTTCGTTAGTATTCGCAAATTGTAATGTCGAGATTCTCAGAAAACTGCTCTTGTTTTTGACATTAGTTTTTTTTTTTTCTTTTCTTTTCTTATTCAAGTTGACCAAAATTGTTGAGCATTATATTATGTATGAATATATGTATGTATGTAAAAATGTTTATACATCAAAGAGGGAAAATAGGGTTTTTTAATTCGTTTCAAAAAGTGTAATTCTTATTTCGTTTTGTTGTTAGTAATAATGCACACGCAATCTAATGATGAGAAATAATTTTTTAATTGTAGCGTGTATTGCGCGTACGTGTCATTTTCTGACTAATTTGCTCTTCCTGCAAAAGTTGACTGCGAAATTTACAAACTTGCTCCAAAGCATCATTTAGTTTGTCCCTTTGTCGAATTAAAAGCTGCTCCCATTTTTCTGCATAAGCTGTAACAAAAAGCATTTTTATTTTATCGTTATAATATATTGTTTTATGGAAAATGGTGTTTTTCTTATTAAAAAGTCATTATATTTTTTAGTATCCCAAAAAATAAGCTTGCGACGAATTTAAAATGAATAAACTGTTGATGAATATTACGGATAAAAAATAAATATATTAACGTTGAGTATATTTATTCAAGTTTTCCAGTCATTTTTTTTTTTTTTTTTTTTCTTTAAAATAATAATGTATTAATACTTTTTTTGAAGATTAAGATTTTTTTTTACTTAAATTGTTAATAATATATGAAGCTGATTTATTATGCATTAGAGACATTTGAAGCAATAATAATATAAAGATATAATAAGCGTGTAAGGAATAAAATTTTGCATTTTCTGTAAATAGTTATTGAATCAACACACAATGAAAATTGTAGAAATGATACATTTTACAGAAAAAAATAAATAGATTATTATGTACAACTCTCTATTGTCTTGTGGAATGTTATTGTTATAAAGCAATAAAGAAATTCCAAAAATTGTATTTCCGACATTATTTTTATCAAGTCAATTATTACTGTTCTTTTTGTCTGCGACATTGAGAAAGTGAAAAGCAGTAAGCACCCAAGTAATCATATGAAATAATGTACGACGTTTCTTTTATTAAAGCGGGGCATATTAACCAATAAAATGAACAAGTGTCAAATGATATTCTTTATTAGTATATGATACAGATGTATATTATAAACTGTGTAATCAAGTATTAATATAACATAATTTGAAATTAAAATTTCATATGACTGTAGCATATTACTAATTTATACATGTGTATTCGTACCATCTGAAAATTGCTTTCTCTCAATGAGGCGCTTACGTAAAGAGAACCTCCTCCTCAAGTAGGGTGAATCGAATTTTGTTCTTTTCCGTCTCATTTCTGTAATTTTGTTTTTGTTCTAATTATATATTTAATTTATTATGCATCATTATTATTTGAATTATCATAAAAATTCATTACTTTGATCATTTCAATCAACTGCGTTTATAATCGCAACACAAGAGTACAATTTTACTCTTTTTGATTTTGTATTTTTTGAAATTAATCTTTTTTTTCAATTATAACAGTGCAAGTTACAATTTTTTATTAAAATAATTATTTAAATGGTTTCAAAAAAAAAACGATGAAAGGTGTTAGTTTAGTTAATTATAATATACTCTGCGATATATTGTTTGTATTTTAAATTGTCTTATCAAATGATTTTTTAAGAGAAATAAATATAATAATGTAAAAAGTTGGTAATAAAAGGAATAATATAACATTTTGCATTATAGCCATTATGAGGTAGTCCTTTTTTTTATTATTTTTCATTATGTGTCTTTTTCCCATTGCAGTTTTTTCACCATTATTTTCTTCTGCTCCTTCTTCTTCTTCTTCTTCTTCTTCTTCTTCTTCATCATCTTCGTATTGATCAATTTGTTTCATTTTACTACTACTGTTGTTGTTGTTGTTGTTGTTGTTAATTATAAAATCTGACATCAGCGTCACATTACTTAATAAAATTGCATTGCTTTGTACATGTTGATTCATTTTTAAAAAAGATGGAGACAATTTTTTAAAATTTTTATGCTCCGAGGAAACTCCACTCTAAGGAAAAATGATATATTAAATTTACATCAAGATTTTGTAAATTATAAACATAAAAAACAAAAAAAAATTTAACTGATATAATGAAAATTTCCTCGATGACTAAAGGATAAATTGTTGGTATTATTTACCAAATGAATGATGTTTTTTCTTTTAGCTCTGCATCCATTAGAATATTTTGACATTTTAATTGCTTTATTTTCGTCTTTAATATTTTTATCATTATAAAGAGAAATTCTTGTATCTCTTGAATGATTTTCATCACCATCACCATCACCACCACCACCACCACCACCACCACCACCACTGCGATCATTACTATTTGAAATTGTCGTACATGTTTTGTATTTTCTTTTTAATACATCTGTCCTACTGCTGCTGCTGCTGCTGTTATTGGCAGACTGTATTTTAACTTTATTCTCAGTATTGTTGGTGGAAACTTTTGCAAAATGAGCAAAATCATTGTCATTAATCCTCTTGTGTTTTTCTTTAATTTGCAATGAAAAAAAGTAGAGTTTTCGAATTTTTCTTCATTATTGTTGTTGTTGTTGTTGTTGTTTATTGGAGGTAAACTATGCATTTTATTATATCTCTTCATATGGCAACTTTTTCTCAAACTGAAAACTGTTGTTGTTGTTGTTGCGTCTGCTGTGAAATGCGATGCACTGTGATTGATGAATTGAACCAACTAATAATTTACAGTAAAGCGAATTTCACGTTTTTAAATTATAATTTTTGTTATGCATGTACATAAAATTTTTACAGTAAATTAATTGAAAATGATTTCTATTTTTAAAAAAATTGACAAGTTTGTGATTGATTAATGGACTCGACAAATATTACAAAAGGTGTGACCACCGCAATTATAACGTATTTTAAAATATTAAAAAATATTAAAAATAATCGAGGTAAAACAATTTTCAAGATTTTTTGCAAGTTTTAAAATTTTAAATTAAAGTCAATAATAACGATAACAACAATATCACTAAAAATAATACAAATAATAATAATTATAAAAATAATAAACTTTGTATAAAGTAATTAAATACCTCCTTAATATTAGGTTTTTGAATTTTACATGATTTTAAAGTTGTAACATTTTTATGTTTTCATTCAATTTCAAGCACATTTTTCTATTCTTTTAATTATTTTATTGACATTTATAGTATTATTTAAAACACACAGTTTACATCTTTCATAATAAAATTTAAACTTGTAGAATTTTCTGGGTATTTCTTACATATTGTTTTTTTGATTATTTAGCAAATTCGCAGAAATTGGCAAAAGTTGAAGTTTTTCTAATATAAAGAGTCGTTTATAAACTACACGTCACGCCTTAGAAAGATGGGAGGGGGGGGGGGAGGTGTGATATTATTTTAGCGTGATGTTTAAATGGCGCCAAAGCATGTAACATTTGTGACGTAGGAAGGAGAGGGGGGGATAATGCAAAATAGCGTAACGTACTTTATGAACGAACTCCTTAATGAATAATTAAAAAAGGTTTTTTCTGTACAAGCCAATAATAATAATAATTATTGTTAAAGATTCTTTTTTCAAAAAACTTTATTTTATAAGAATCAAAACATATATGTTTCGACAGCACCCTTTTCATTATTTGGTGTTTAACTTTTAACAATAAATAAAAATAACGACAATATTTTCCTCATAAAATGTTGTGTCTCTATTTAATATGTACATGGTTGTTTATTCATTAATTTAGTGCCAAAAGTGTAAAAAGATTGCACAGTATAATTATGCTGTCGAAACATATGTTTTGATTCTTATAAAATAAAGTTTTTATAAAAAAAAAAAAAAAAGAATCCAACACCTGCTTAAATTCGTTTAAAAGTCTTGTAAAAATAGTTTCACAATAATAATATTTATTATTGTTATAATGGAAATAATTAAGGTCATTGTAATAAGAAAAATATTGTGTGTAAAACTACACCACTTACCTTCTTGGTCGTAATCGACTTCATGTGTTACAGAAAAGACAGAGTGAGCATCGTTTATGAAAGTATTACTACTGTCAATAACAGTTTTGTGTGTATCCAAAACTTCTTCCTCAAGTAATTGCAATGCCGATACTGCTTCATGAAATGTATAAAGATCTTGTGAGATTTCGCCCTCCTAAGAAGAAATTTTTTTTAAATATTGAGTCTGAATGTATACTTTTAAAATATTTTTAATACTTTTGTGCGATTCCAAGTGAAAAGTTGGTTTTTTCAGAGCGAGTAAGTTTTATCTGCAATTGCAATAAAACTTGGGAATTTTAATCTACACATAATAAAGAAATATTTTCCACAAAATATTGCGTCAAAATATTCAATAGGTAGTTTTTGAAATGTCTGAAACCGGAAATTCGCAGCATATAAAATTATTACTGAATATTTTGACGTAAGGAACCGTTCATAAATTACGTAAGACATTTAGGGGGAGGGGTGGGTCTGCAAAATCTTATGCACAATAGGAAAAATGGCGCTAATGTATGTAATGTATGATCTTACGAGGGGGGGTGGTCAAATTTACCCAAAAAAATGTCTTACGTAATTTATGGACAGCCCCTAATATTTTGTGGAAAATATTACGTTTCAGGTGTAGATTAAAATTCTCAAGTTTTATTGCAATTGCAGATAAAACTTACTCTGAAAAAACTAAATTCTCCACTTGGAATCGCACTTTTTTATTATTATAACGATTATACTTACATTAAGAGATCGTAATTGAGCCAAGTCACTATCAGATAAGACGCTGTTATTTGTCTGATCCTCTTCTAATTTAACTTCAATCTGCTGCTGATCATCATCTGAAGGAGAATTTTTTGTTTCCGTAGGATCGTTAGCTGCCAATTCTTTTACCCTATCTGCATATCGCAATGTATTTAATGAATGTTCGCATGAACTCATACCCGGACTAATCATAGCAATCTGTAAATAATATTAATTTTGTAGTTTACACATTAAGAGAATGCATTTTATTAATTTTTTTTTTTTTATTTAAATAAAAACAAACCATGCAGGTTTTAGATTTTTCACCAATGAAACTATCTCTAAGAACTTGAGTCAATTTGCTTGCCCGGAAAGGTAAATGGGTACCCTTGCGTCCTAAAGCACGTATACACTCTTTTAAAGCTAAAAGAGATTTGTTTATTTCAGCACCTTCCATTCCTAAAAAAAAAATTGTATTATTTATTATTATGATTATGATTATGATTATTATTATTATTATATGCAAATGAGAATTTTACTCGTTTGTCTATTTGCAGATGATGTATCAGCTCCTCTTTCATTTCCAGCTAAATCAATAAGAGAAAATTTGCCATGAATTTTATGCATTCCAGGAGTTCGAGCTATTATTTGAAAAACTGCATGTGATCTTGAAGAATTTGAATTAGCGCTAGTTTGTCCACTTGTCCTGGCATTATTTCCATGCTGAATAAGTTTTAAAACTTCATCACAAGTTTCTACTACTTTCTCAGTTAAACCAACAATTTGTACCTTGAAAATTTTAATCATGTGTTGATTAATAAAACACAACAAAATAATAAGCTCTAGTTGTAATTGGTAATTTTTAACTATACACGGAGAAAACTATGGAGTATTCAACAAACAACTATCTTCGAGGGACAAACAGACTATATTTGAGGAAAAGTTTTTCGTAACAATCTCGGAGGGATAAATAATATAGACACTCCAATGATTAATTTGCGACTAACTCGCATGGGGGAAAATAGTTGTCAACTATCCACAGAAAATCAGGCTTAACACTCAAAATCTAAAACCCTCCTCCAACTGTTTGACTATCCGCAGTTTTCTCAGTGTACCATGAAAATTGTATATTAATTTAACAATACTATTATTCATTATAAACTAGTTGTGTGATTGTTTGCAACATTTATTGTTTTTTACCTGCTGTTTTCCATCTTCGAGAACTCGTAACTTTTCCTTATCTGCCAAAAGATCGAAAACTTTTCCAGAGTATATTTCAAAGAAACTCGCCGATATCACTAAATTTAGAGGCCGATATTTAGGCGACTTTAGATACTTGAAAACGTCCTTGGTAACCATGGCATAAATTCCTTTTTTGCAATCTTGAGTTTTTCCATTAAAATCACCTCCCATTGTGTGTGTTTTTCCACTTCCAGTTTGTCCGTATGCAAAACATGTTGCCATTCCACCCTCGAAAATTGTTTGCACTAGAGGTTTAGCTGTATATTTGTAAACAACTTCATTTGTACAGGTTTCATCGAAAGCATAGTCAAATCTGAAGAGTTGATTTTCAAGGTATTTAGTTAAATCAACCTTTGCTTTAGGTTCGTGCACTACTATTTGATCTTTACTGGGAACAGTTATCACGTCCACTTCTTTGCGATTTTGTTCCTTCTTATTTAATGGTCTTTTTCTCACACACACAGTAATTTGGTGATCATCAACAGTATCTGTCTCTCGCAATGGTCTAAAATCTACACTGTTTTGATATTCTCTGAAACAAAAATTCAATAGACACACTTTAATTTTTCAATTCAATAAAACAACAACACACTTTAAGAGAGAGAAAGAGAGAGAGAGAGAGAGAGAGAGAGAGAGAGAGAGAGACATAAAAGTATTTTTTTTTCCAATTTCAAGTTTTTTTTTTTTTTTTTGGTGAAATTCAATTCTCTTTTTTGAATCTTGATATTTTTCAAATAGATTTCTTTAAAAAAAAAAAACTCGACTACTTTTTTACTCTATAAATATTGCAACATTTTTCAATAATAATTTCTAAAGTTTAATTATTTCCTACAATTTTTTTTTTTTTGAAATAAATCTATTCGAAAAATATCAAGATTCAAGGACTTAGTTATAGTTTTCAGCTTTTCATTTCAAAGGATACGAAAAATCTAAATTTTTGATACATTAATTTAATATTTTTTTTTTTTTTTACTATTTTAAATGAAATTTCTTAAATTCTCTGACCATTTTCCCTGACCTGCGCGCGACATTTCTCTTATTGGCAAAATTCATAAAAATCAAACTCGATAATAAATTTTTTAAAAAAGTATTTAAAACAAATTTTCTTAAATTTCTTGTAAATAATTAATAATATCTCTTTTTAGCAAAAGTCTGTTTTATGCGCAAAAAACCTTTTTCTTTAAAAAAAGACTCTTTAAGGGGAAACTATTCTTCAACTGTAGTTGATTTTTACATTACAAAAATCGAATCAAGTTGCGCACTATCCGAGACAAGAGTAAAACACAATCTTCTCTTTTTAATGTTGCACAGTTTTTTTTTTTTTTTTTTTTTTTTTTTGACAAAACACAATTCACGAATATGTTAAAATAACAAACCTAATCATAGCTAAAAACTCCCAATTAGGATTGCCTGCATCTAAATTCATGAGGGCTTCTTTTTCTTCCTTGAGTTCGGCTTGACGCTGTCTTCTCTCTTCTCTATTTTTCTTGAGTCGCTCAACCTCTTTAACGACATTTGACCTTCTATTTCTGCCATTTTCTAAAACTTGTTGTTGTTGTTGCTGCTGCTGCTGTTGTTGCTGTTGTTGTTGTTGTTGTTGGACTTGCTGTTGATTTTTTTTCTGCTGTTTGGATGCTGCATTAGAAACGTTAAATGTTGGATTTGTTGTAGGTGTTGGAGGTATGTTCTCCATCATTTCTCGACGTCCAGTTAGATTAGATATCGTTTCACCATTATGAGGCATTATATTCGTTGGACGACTGGGCTGTTGTCTCTGATTGTTTCTATTTATTCCAGCTGCAGGAAAAAATGAAAATTGTTATTTACTATTATATTATTATATTTAATTAACATTTCAATTTACGTTTCGATTTATTAATTTTTTTTTTTTTAATTACAAAGCTGATTATAAAATAATTGATTATTTATTCCATGTCTCAAAAAATTTTAGAGATTCAACTTTTTTTTAAGCAAGTTTAATTCTGAACCTCATAATTGCTTTGATAATAATAAATGACCCCACATTGTTGTCTGTTTTGTATTTTCCCAAAAGTGTTGATAAAAAACAAAAAGGAATAGAAAAATGTGTCATACCTTTCACAGAAATGCTGGCCCTTGTAGAATGCTGAAAACATAATAAACATTAATATATATATAAAATGATTTTAGAAAATGAAAATCACTAAAAACATTTAAATTGAAAAATTCCAACATTTTACATAAACATTTTTATTAAATGAATAGAAAGAACATACTATTATGTTTTAAAGGAAGGGAATAATTATTAAAAATTTATTTAAAAATAAATTCAATCGTTTTTTTGGAAGAAAAGAAATTATTTTGTAAAAAAAAACTCTTCCATCATTACTGTTTTATTTAACAAGTTGATTATAAAATTAGTTTTTTACTCTGAAAAAAAGTTATCCGTAAAAAGAGGTTAAGAACAAAAAGGGACTTGTTTTGTAAATGTTTATAGAGTTTTACAGCCATAAAAAAGTATGGTTATTTGTCTAGAAATTCCCACCCGGTTCACACACGCAACATCAATGAAAGGTTTGATCTAATAATTTGATGTATTTTACTTTTGCAAACACACAACTGTCAAATAATTATTGACACATAAAGGACACAATTTTTGTGGACGTGATGGACGCTTTTTTATTTGCTCGCAAAAACCCCCCATATCACCTCGTAGTCTAATAATCTTGGTTTTATTTATTTCATTTAAATATTGTTCTATATTGCTTTAAGCCGCAGAAGTAAAACACTGCACTTTTGGCCAATTTAAAAAAACCGCAAAAAAATTGATGCTGCGTTTCTTTCATCATATCAAGTATAATAAAGTTTTTTTTTTTTTTTAATTAAGAGAATGCTTTTATTTGAAAAATCACATCATTTTTGCATTAAACACTATATCTATTATCGTGAAAGAAATGAATCTTGTAACTCTCTGCAACTCAAATTAAAAAATAAAATTTTTTGTAAATAGAAATGTTTTTTTCTCATGATGATACTTGATAATCTTAATTAACAAAAATTTTTATTTCTTTTTGATCAGCAATATATTTTAAATATATGATTACTTTTTTGTCAAAATTAATGAATTTGAATAAATTAAAATAAATTTTTTTAAATTAAAAAAGAGTGACCAGCATTTACTCTTTTATTAGGTACTTTGTGTTTAATTTTAAATAAAAAATGTAATAACAAAAATTTTTTCTTATTGCTTCAAATATTATTATTATTATTATTATTATTATCAGTTTATATTCGCAGAGAATTCAACTAAATGAAAAAATTTTTAAATATTTTTCCTTCAAGATGTTCTCTGCGAATATATGCAAATCTTAAATATATATAATCATGGACCAAAATAAATATTTAATATACGCGCGTTACCGAAATTCGAGAAGTAACTCGTACAGGAAGCGTTGCAGAAGTCAGTCCATTTCTTTCCTCTTGATTCAATTCCAAATCATCGAGACCATCTTCGTCTTCATCAGACGAGTCCTTTTTATTTATTTATTTATTTATTTATTTGAATATTAGTTGAAAAGCAAAAAAAATAATGTATATTGCGGTGATTGTCAAATGGCCATTTCGATTCGTCACATTGGTAATAAAAGCAGCGTCCATGCAGAGAATATATGGTTAATAAAATGAAATATATTTTTAAATATATACAAATAATATTGATAAGGTTTCTTTTTTTTGTGATTGGTGCGAATTGATAACTTTAATTAAAGAATATTTTGTTTTGTGCGAAAATAGTGTGTATATATATATATATATTGTCTAGTGCAAAATTCATTCTCTTGTTGTTCATTTATTTCAAACATTCGAGGACTTGAGTGCGTGACATAATAATAGGAAAAAAGACATTTGAAAGAATAAACAACACGTTAATATACCTCAAAAAGAAACAAATATTGAAACATATTGTTAAATCCAAATAATTTAAATGTACACATTCTCTGCTATATTTAAAAGAGGTTAGAAGCGTAGTCAAGACAACCAGTAAATAAATTTCTAGTTTTTTCACATAAATTATCAATAATTATCGATAAACTAAATGTATGCATGATTTTCTTTTATTGTCTAAAAAAATGCATAATTAGTTAAAAAATTAAATAAATTTTTTTTCTAATATAATTTTGCCATTGTGAAAATTTTTATTAAATAATAATCTTTAATGAAATTGAAATGTGCACCTACACAAATCAAGACACACACACACAAACACATACCCACACACTCGAGTTGACAATTAAGAAATAATTTCACCAAAACTCGTGGTGGTTATTATTTCATTAAACACAAGGAATTTAGTCAAAATTATTTAATAGTAAATAATTGTTTTAAGTATATATGAAATTTCTTACCCTTGCTCGTGATGTTGCCAACATATAGTCATTGACCTGAGCTGTAGGAGGACCCATATGTTTCGCATTCAAATCTGGATTGAGAGCAAGAATCGTGTCAATCTCCACCTGTAATAATTATTTAATCTTTGAAAATAATTCAAAAAAACAAAAAAATACATTTTACAAACTTTTTCCATGTTTTTTAAAAATTAATGTACATAATTTAATGAATAAAATTTTAAATAATAATTTTGTTAATTATTACCTCTTTCCCCTTTGTTTCACCCCTTTCAAACCATTCGACAGTGACACTCCTCATGTCCCAATTAACACCAGAAACTATAGCAGAATGAATACGTCCTAAAAAGATTAATAAATAAATGTTTATGGTATTTTTGTTAATTTTCAATAGTATAACAATTTAATGAAAGTGTAAAAACACATAATATATGCGTATATTGGATTCCATATACGGTCAGATCGTTCGCGTGATCAGTATAGGTAACTCTGATAGTTGGGCTACTTTTTTTTTTTTTTTTTTTTCAAGGGCATATTTCAGTTTTCATAATATTTTCACTTTTGATTTTTATGCAAATATGGTTTAGAAATAAAATTCAAGTAATAAACTTCCGAAAATATAAGAAATAATTTATATTTATGCTAGTTTTTCAAGCTCTCATTGATTACTATTTATAAAAAATATTTACAGAATGTATTATTACTTTATATTGATGTTTCTTTTTCAATCCAAAGTATACTTTTAAGGAATTATATTCTATATATAATTGTATCACTTAATAAGTTTTAAGGACAAATAACGCGCGCGCGGTTGAATCACTCACTACTTTTCTTTTCTATTAAACTGTGTGCCTTTTTTTATTTTAGTGAAATCTTTAAAAGCAATATTGTTCCACCGCTCTGTACTTTTATTATTATCTAGTGCTAATATTGTGACTTGTGAATCTTTTGGGACAGATAATAAGGGATTAATAATAATAATAAAAAAAAATTGCTAAATTTTCTAAATATTGTTGTTATAGCTTAAAATTATAAAAAAAGATTGATATTTAAGCTTCTATTATCATTTACCAAGTTTATTTTATGAGCAAAAAAAACTACTTTAATAAATTAAAGTATTTAAAAATAGTACATCATTTAAATTAATACTACTCTCACTAGAGAAAAAAAAATAAAAACAGATTATTCTTTTTAAAATAACCTGCAGTTTTAATCCTTGAGGATTATAACAAACTTTAAATTCTCTTTACTGACAAAACCAAATAAATAATAAAATGTGATACGTTCCAAATATGGCAAGTTTATTCATTCAAGGTGCGTCAAATAGGAGAAAAAACCGGTTAAAAGCAAGCGTACAATAATGGAGTACTTAGCCCACGTATATTTTCCAAATCGCCATTTAGAAAAAATTATTCTCTTTAAATAACATAAATGGCGTATTTTTTCAGAAATGAATTTTTTTTATATAAAATTGCGCATAAATCAGTAAAATTTCCAATGAAAAAAAAATTTGTGAAAAAGAACCATTTTCAAGCATTAGAATATTATATACTTACCATCAGTTCGTTTTATATTTATACTGGTCCCAGTTTCAATGTTACAAACTCCTTCCATGATTTTTGTTGTATCAAGCACAATGTACCATATAATTCCCAGAAAAAGTTTGGTTAATTCAGACAATAAGAGTATTCGCGCGCACCAAAACTTGTTTTATGAAATAAATAATTACACTTCTATCAATTGTATAACACTGACAACAAAACTTTTTGCGTGATTATAAACTTGTAGCTCCACTAGAGCAGTTGCTTTTGACGGTTAAGTTTTTGCCATTCACATTCAAAAATAGTTTTGTCGCGGCTTCTTCTCTATACAATTCAACAGCTAGAACTTGATAAAAAGCATAATCACTTGGATCCCTAATTAAAAACTCAAAAAAAACTTGGGAATGGTGTGACAAACACAACTCCTTAAAACGATCAAATTCAAATGCATGACATTAACATGAAACAAATTGAGGTATGATTTACCAATCCTAATTTTTTTTTTTTTGTTGCGTAAAGGTCTTTTCTCAATATTTAGACATGTGCATTGGCCAATACACAGGGATGGACTGTTGTTGACTTGATATCGTACACTAGGGAAAAATTTCTGTATAAAGGCGCTCGCACAGCTCTACTGCCTGCCTGCCTGCCTGCCTGCAGGTTGTCATGGTAACTAACACATAAGGGTGGAGTCCCATGGCAGCGTTTTGCGTTGCGTTTTGTAACTAGGCAATGAGTGTGAGAGAGATGGAGATTAATGTTTGCTATATTTGCACTCATGGGCTAGTTACAAAACGCAACGCAAAACGCTGCCATGGGACTTCAGCCTAAGGCCGCAGTCCCATGGCAGCGTTTTGCGTTGCGTTGTAATGAGAGAGAATGCAGCAAACGTATATTTGCGTCTTTTTCTCTCCCATTACGACGCAACGCAAAACGCTGTCATGGGACTTCATGGGTGCAAAAGAGAGATAGGTAGATATTGTTGTTCTTTTCACTCTCATGATTTTCTGCTTTCGGTTGATGTATTCTACACACATGTGATCGCACCTGTATTATGTTCAACATAATCAAAAGTTATATCTCATTGTAGACTCACCTTCTTATTACATTTTTGTCAAAATACGAGTATTTTTGAAAATTAACTTTTAAATCTAGAATTAAACAGATTATTTGAAGCAACTAAGAAAAAGGAGAAAAATGTAGTTTAAAATATTAAAATTAATTACTTTTTTGCTGTAAAATATTGTGGAACAAACTGTTGTCAATGCTTTACAGATAAGGAAATTTGTTATTTATTGTAAACCATAAAATTTACAACTTTTAAAAAAAGTATTAATTACTAATAATCAACTATAATTTTGAAGCATATGTATAGTCCAGAAACGAATTGCTTTAAAGATATGTGTCCATTAATCTAATTTTGATTCTTTTTCTTATAATAGTTCCTATTACTGCGCGCTGCTATATTAAGCACAATTATTATTATTAATTGAAAAATTTATTTTAGAAAATCAAATTGTAAATCATCAAACATAATTCCCTTGGAATAGAGAAAAGGGATTTTTCTACTCTCATTACTTTTTCCTTATGCTATGCAAATTGTGTTATCGCAGTCTGCTGAGGCCTAGCTTTTTTTCCAAGTCAACATTACATATAGTCAAAACGAATGATTTTTAAATCAAGTTTGACTTTATATACCCCAGCTGAAAAAAATCGTTTGGATTTACCCATGGACTTTTCAGGTAGAAATCCATATGGAGATTTGAAACTATCCACATGAAATTCGCATGGATTGCCATGTGGATTTTCGCATGGATTTTTTTATATTTTTAATAAACACAAAATATGAATGAAAACCTCTTTAAAAATGCAGAAAGTAGTGAGTGAGACCCCTTTGGGGTTTCACAGAATTCGAATTTTTGATGTTTATTTCTGAAAATATTTAAAAATTGAAAAAATAGAAAATTTTCATGTGAATTATTTCAAATCTCCGCATGGATTTCTGCGTAAATTTCCATGTGGAAAATCCAGACGTACTTTTTCAGTTGGGAATTTCTACTTTGAAAAAATGGATAAACCGGCGTTTATTGCTTTGCAGAATTAATGTCTAAGAGTAAAAGTTCCATTTCTAACAGCAATGAATATTTCGAGATTATGTCTACCCAAAAATTGGGATAGCCCCAAGATTTCAGTATAGGTTGTTCATATGGACATTCCAGGAATATTCAAATTTCTTATAGGATATTCTGAATATGCTGTGAGAATTGTCACTGTAAATGATAAAAATTGAAAATGTTGATCATATAATTATTAGGAGACGATAGCATTCGGATATTCAGAATATTCTATTGATGTACTGCGTGGATGGTCCTGGAAAATAAGGATATCCCGTGTCCATGTTCATCCCTGGGACAATATATATTACAAGTATTTAAAGTTATGTAGGTATGTAGGAGAATAATTTATCTTGTTAATTTTCAATCGAAACACTAAAATCCATCAGTCAAATGAGCAGAGATAATAATTGAAAAGAAATAATTGTTATTCTCCAATATTAAGGAAAAACATTTTTTGTTGGTCTATATAAACAACTATAGTAATTGAGTTGGACTAGCTGAATATTGAATAAATAATAATTATTGAAAAAACATTCTCTCTTTTTTCAAATGTTTTTTTCAACTGTATTTGAGAGAAATGAAATCAGTTGAGAATGTATTGCAGCAATTCATTTCTGGATCGGTGGATTATTAGCCCAAATAACTATTCTCGGATGTGTACATACCTGATATGTATATTTTATTACCAGCACAACCTACAGATATTGATCAAGTTAAAAAAAAAGTATATGAAAAGCCAAAGATTTTTCAATTTATTTATTATTCGTCTGAACAAGTCGGAGCATAGTGCACAATGAATTAATTTATATTTGCACATGAACTTGGGTATTTAATTAATTGAATTTTACGCAAATACATGTGCATTGTGTGGGTGTTCTTTTGAGTTTGTTTTGGAGCAAATAAAAAGAGATTGGCGAAATTTAAGAATTAGATTGCATTTGATTTTAACAATTAATTGGAAATATGCGTTTGATTTTCTTAGAAATAACATTATTTATGTAATTGTTGAAAAATGTTTAGAAAAAATGATGAGACTTTTTTCCTATAAAATTCTCTTCTTCTTCTTCTTCTTCTTCTTCTTTTTAATACAATATTTTTACAAGGTCTTTTATGTTTCTATTCATATGTTTCAATGTGATTCTCTTTGGCATCAAGTTAACATAAATATAATTACAAGAATTATATTTGAAATTGTTTGTAACCGTACACAGAGGAAAAAAAAGAAAAATTTTCATAAAAATATAAAGGAATTATTTTTCTAATGACAATTATTTTGAAATATCCATTTTTTTTAGAAATATTTGCTTTATATTAACTTTTTGTCAAGGTTGCGCGTTTAAATAGCATGAAACAAAATTTTTTAAAATACATTTTCCGTAAAAGACCTCATAAAATAATAAATATATATATTAGTCAAGTGTTTTTGTTAACACATGGCTTAGAACAATGGCAGACAACGTGGTGAAATGATTGCATCGACGTTCAGAAAATTCTCATTTTGGACTCTATAAAAACTTGATAATTACATGTATTAGCCTATTCTTCAATGATTTCGGTGTCTCATGTGTTTTGGAAATCAGATGCAAATTTTAGAAATTTTTAAATTTTGCCATTCTCTTAAAATCTATTCCACACAATAATTTTAGAGCGGAGAAAGAGAAAAATTTCGAAACAATCTGTGTGTTTGCATTTTAAACGAAATGTTAAATTAAAAGTAGAGAAATTGTTTCCAAATATTTTTTTTTTTTGTTACAATATTGACTGGTAAAGCATGATGCAAAAAAAAATGTTTAAATAAATGATTACTTTATTTAGTTAAAAGGGAAAAGTATAATTTTAGAGATTAGAATGAATAAAAAGGTCTGATTAATATTGAATTTTTAATTATTTTGATAAATAGGTTAAAAGTTTTGCAAATAATTAATTAGATTATGATTGAAATTTGATGCAGCGAATAGGAAAATCATATTTTGAAAGAAAGATTATCGAAATTTTATACTATTGCATCACGCTTACCCTTATTCTAATAATAGTTAAATCTATTTATTAAAACAATTTTCTGTTAATCGAATTAGAAATTTCTTTAAATCAAGGTCTTCTTTGTTGTTGTCTATAATACATTCGACGATGAAAATTATAATCAATATATACATTATAATTGGATAACTGATACTTTACTCTCTTGTATAGGATTGATACAACATAAAAAGTTATCCTGCATAATAATTATTTAACAATAATAATAATAATAATAATAATAATAATAATAATTAATAGTAATAATAATAATAATAATAATAATAATAATAATAATAATAATAATAATAATATATAATTAATAATAATAATAATAAAAATAATAATAATAATAATAATAATAATAATGTATTAGTATTATTAAAGCTTATTCATTGTAGATAAACTAATAATCATTCTATATAGAAATTGAATAAACAGGTATTGAGTTTTTCCTTTATTTCCCTTTCTCCGCCGCTCAATTAGTACGTATTCTACCCACGCGTATAGAAAACTCAGAAAACGCGACTTGAAATTATGTACTTTTTTTTATTTATTTTTTTTTTGATTTGGCATATGCATCACTATGCAACCCAACAAGGTTCCGTTTTACTATTCTCATTTACGCTTGAAAACAGGATATACAATACCTATTATTCGCTCATACACGTTATCATCTCGCAATGTCGTTATTAGTAAAATAATAATGATACCGAACTATATTTATACGTAATTAGTTTTTTTTTCTTTACCCCATTCAATCTCAGTCTGAGATTAGTTTGCACATTTTCAATCATTCATTCACTCATCTTTCATTCTGCCTGTTTGTTTATTATTTAGAATCGTATTTTTTTTCATTAAGAACTAAATGACCTAAAAGATAGTTTAGCAAGTTACGTAATTTTCTACAAAAATCCAAGTTCGCAGTTTTTTTTCTTTACAATAAAATACATTAATTTCGCTTTTCTTTAGTCACGCATGCAAACAAAAAAAAATATATATATATATATGTATGTATATATATTTTGTATGTATGTATATATATATATAGTTTTGTATATATATATTTTTTTGTGTGTGTGTGTGTATAATTTGTATATATACAAAAACACAAACGCGCAATTATTAAAAATTTCACTCTTTGTTAACTCACGCGCGAAAATTATAGTAAGAGGAATCAGCTCTCGCATTTCAGGAAAGAATGACCCTTATTTATTCTTTTGTGTGAGTGCGATTCCATAAGGACAAAAAAAAATGTCCATAAAATATCCGCCGTGAGTTTCAGTCTAGCGAAACTTGCCCTTAAGCATGTTACATTTGTATCTAATTTCTCATCCCTTTTTCACCAGTCAATCTTAGATTGACATTTCGATCAAATGCAAGTTACGCTGAATCCTCGTTTTAAAAAAGACACGAGGCATCGCGTACTATCCCTTATAAATATATGTATATAGAATTATTTATTTCTATGTATTTATGTATATATAATACATTTATATTCTACAGTATGTACAATCTAAGCTAGAGTCTGAGACTCTATTTATTATATCTTTTACACGGTGTTCAAAAGTAGAAACATGACCAGTCGTCAAATGTTTGTCAGAGAAATGTTTTTTTCAAGTATCTACAGTTAAAAAAATTATATAATGCAACTATTCGCGTAATAAGAAATCTTTCAACTGGCATATCATGCTACTTTTGTGAATTAAATCCCGTGGCATTGTATAGAACATAATGGTAGCAGCCCTCGTCCTATAAAATTAAAATGAAAAGTAATTAATTTATTCAAGTCGTTTTTCTAAAATTTAAGTATTTCCAGTTTTGCGCGTTTAATCTGGCAGTGATCGTTTACAGATCCCTTATAGCTCTGAATTTTTCTGGTCGCAGCTCTCGCAACAACGAAAGCAAAGAATACGCAATATAAAATAAAAGTAAAGTATACTCATTTCATATAGAGTATAATGCATACCAGTCCAATTTGTTACTACAAATTAACTAATGACTTTTAGGTTAGTTATTTGCTTTTCGCTGCTTCCCAAAATCACGATTTATACAAATATATTTTCCCCATTAAGGATTGGTGCAACATTGTGTGATGGAAGACTGTAGTCTAGTTTGAAAGAAAACAAAAAAATCCATCGCGAAAGAAAAGAAATTTTAATAAAATGCTTTCGCATATCTGAAGCACGACAAAAAATTATCACAGTCTCAACTAGCCTACAACACGACTTGAATATGCTTAAAATGTTTTGTCATTATTTTTTTGAGCTTGAAAATATTTAAAAATTTTTTTAAATTGCTTCATATTGTTGCTAAATTATAATCAAGTGAAAATAAAATCTATTATTGGTTAAATTAAGTCATCAAAAATATAAAAAGCTGAGATAACATTTAATTTCTTAGAAACGATATTAATCAGCTGTTGACAGCACTAAATCTTTATAAAAATAATTTTTCAATTTACTCTTCTCTAAAGAAAAACAACAACCGTTCTATAAACTGTAAGTAAATAATATTTTACAAGACTGTCATTAAACCAATTAGACAATTTTGCATACTTTTTGTACAATTACTGATTTCATCTCATTTTCAAAACGATATAGCGACACTTTTTTTCTTCTGTCCTTTTTTACGGACCTCGACCATGTGAAATAAAATAAAAACATGGTATATTTGCTAAAATAAAAATGTGTTTTCTTTCTCAGCCCAATTAATCAAAAAGATTGTGCAGATATTCGTCAAAAAAAAAAGGAAAAAAAATCTAGAGATACATCTCTAAAAACAAATTGCTTGCTTGCTTTAAAAAGCCGTATAAAATGAAAAAAAAAAAAAAAAAAAAAAAAAAGAAAGTGAAAATTTCGGACGAGGGCAACATCACTTTTATCACGTTGTGTCGTGCAAGTCAGCCAGTAGTGCGCGTACATTTTAGCGATTCTCAATGTCAGAATCTTGTCACTTTTCACTTGTGTTGTCACTTGTGTCACGCTGAAGCGCATGGTACGGAGCCTTACTGTCAGGGCCTGACGAGTGGCTTGCCACCATAGGGCGCGGGATATTGACCGTTCAAAATCGAGTATCCAATGTCAAGGTGCGTATGGTGAACTAATCTAGGAGGTGGTGGCGGAGGTGAAGAAGATGTTCTACTATCTTTGCCAAGATTAACTCCAGGCACTTCTACTATTGGACCAGATGGTTGCTGGCCAGGTGGCTGTTGTTGTTGTTGCTGTTGTGGTGGTGGTTGTTTGGATTGTTGACTCTGAGGTGTTCCAACTGGTGGACCACTAGGGGGTCTTGTTGGGTTTTGACCGACAACCGACGACGACGAGGGACTTGCTGAAGAACTGACCCCTTTAGGAGTCGGTGACTTTAAGGCTCGTTCTTGAAGTTCATGAATTTTGTGGGCTGAGTAATACTGGTTCGCGTGATGCTGCAAAAGATCGAGTGCCTTTCCTGTTGGTGGTCTACTCAAGTCTTCTGCGGCGCCATGATACCTATGGCAATCAAGATTAACCCTCCTAATTCAGCGATTACATAAATTGTTTTTTTATAACAATGGACCAAATACTGTTTTTTGAAATAATATAATGTTGATTTATTTATTTTTGAAATAATTAAAAGGTTTTAAATGAGTAATTATATATAGTGTTTGAAAATTAAGGTTTCTTATTGATTACTAATTTTTAATTTGGCACTTTTATTTACAACAACAACAACAAGAAACAAGTTTCAATTTGTGTTTGTTTATGAAGAAAGAAAAACTTGAATCGAGAGATAAAAATAAATTGATTTACCTTGGCAATTGGTGAAGATATGGATTGCCAGTGTATGGACCGGGAACTAGCATTGGACTCAGTCCTCGATAAACTGGATGTCCTGGATCAAAACTCAACGCACCATAATGCTGAGGTGGCATGTAACCCGGATGAATATAAGCGTACTGCGAAGTGGGCGGAGGTGGTGGACCCTGCGTTTCCATAGTCGGTTTAACGCCTTCTTGTTTAATCTTAATATCCTCATTCTTCACCATCTCCTGTTGTTGTTGTTGTTGTTGTTTATCTTGCTTTGATGTTTGATGTTTAGGACTAGGAATTGGGGCTGCTTTCGATTGATTCTGTTTTCCAGGACAGTCTTCTGTTTTTCTCCTCTGATCCCCGGGATATAAATAATATCTTCTGTCATCTTGTGCAGAACTTGTAGGTGGTGCTCTCTGTGTCCCGTGATAAACATGGTAAGGAGTCATTTGACTCTTCATCTCAATACTCTCTTTAAGTATTTGATGATTTTCATGTTGCTTATCCTTCAAATTTGTTTGTTGGGGTTCTTGTTTAATTTTACAAATTTTTTGATCATGCATCTCTGATTCTTGATGTTGTTGTTGTTGTTGTTGTTGCTGCTGCTGTTGCTGCTGCTGTTGGGATGGCTGAACAAGTGGCTGCTGATAAGGATAACCCGGAGGCATATACGCTCCATAACTTGCATAATAGTGTGACTGCTGAGCCTGTGTTATATCCTTATTACACTTTTCCTTTTCTATACTCTGCAAGCTATTAATTGAAGGCATCTGTGGTATATTGAGTGGCTTTACCACCTCTTGTTGTTGTTGTTGTTGTTGTTGTTGTTGTTTAGATGTGAGATCACTTGATTTGTTTTGATCAATTTTCTCTTGTTGTTGTTGCTGTACACTGAGATATTGTGACTGACCATAATAAGGATACATATTAAACTGAGTCGGCAGTGGACAAGTCTTTGTGTCTTTTTCTTGTAGTACTACGGCTGCTTTCAAGCTTTTGTCAATATTCTCAGGTTCGGGTGCTGCATCGTCAGAGATGTCGGAATATGCTGGAGACTGAACGTCCTCTCGTCCAGAGTCAATCGGCGGCTGATGCTGCTGCTGCAATGTTGTGTCCAAGGAATGTGGGCCGGGAGATTTACGAGATTTCTTCTTGTAACCTTGTGGTTTGGTTAAAGTTTTACTTTTATCCTGTTCAGGCATTAAGGCGGCAGTAGGTTTAACTTTAAACTGGGGTATTTTCGCATGTAAGCCCACATTGGAATAAGATGAAAGATGCGTAGCTCCCGTCGTTTGCAAATTAGTCTGATTGGACGAGAGATTTTGGAGGCCAGGATTTGTAGTTGTAAGTAGATTTGTTTGTTGATTTTGTTGTTGTGTGTGAGGTGATTGAGAGGTGAAAAGTTGATTGTTGGGTGCAAGTGGAACAACGGTGTGAGAAACAGATTGATGAACTGATGGGTGTGATTGCTGAGTCGTTGTTGTTTGATGAGGTAGTGCATTAGAAAGACATTGTTGAGATGGGACAATAGTACTTTGAATAGTGTGTTGTAACTGAGTTGTTGTCGTTGTTGTTACTGCTGCTGCTGCTGCTGCTGTTGTTGTTGATGATGTTGTTGTTGTTGTTGCTGCTGCTGTTGTTGTCGTCATCACCGTAGTTGTTGTTGTCGTCGTTGTTTGTTGAGGTTGAGGGATATTGAGGGATATTCCTGGGCTAGAGAGAGAACTTGTTTGTACTGGCCTTGGAGATTGACTCGTTCGAGGATTTGGACTTGATGGATTTGATAATTGCACAGGCAATGTTTGTACCTAGAATTAAAAGACAAATGATTAAACAATCGCTTTATATAGTATTTGACAAGCAAAGAAAAGAATAATAAATGATTTGTTATTACCAGGTGCCCAAGACAGGGTACAACACTGGCTTGTGAAGATATTTGTTCATCTTGTCCGAAACGAACTGTAGTAACAGCACCCTGCTTCAAGACGATAGCCTTATCTGCTGCTACTGGTATAGTTGTTGCTGTTGCTGAGACAGCTGCTGCTGAACCGGTAGTTGCGATTGTGGAAATTGGTGGCGTCGTCTCGCTACTACTATTCGGAGAAGGAACTCGTGGGGTTGGTGGTGTCGCGGGGGGAATTGACGTGGGACTGGCGATTCTAATAGGCGTGACGGCTTCCATTTTCTCCGATGGCGATTTAACCGGTGTTACAGGACTTGGGGTTTCAATATTACTCTCATCATTTTCTGACATGCTAGTGATACCTTCCTTGGTATCATCATCATCCGCTGAGCCATGCGCGTGGCTTTGATGATATTTCAGTCCATTAATGTGCTTATATTTTTTACTACAATTAGGTTCTGGGCATTCTAATAAAACTGGACTAGCAGGAGGTGATCCGCTTGTCGGTGTTGGTGCTGGTGGTGGTGGTGGAGCTCTTCTTTTGCTTTTATCTTCTTCTTCGGGCCCTCGAGACTTCCTTTTGGCTGCGGGATCTGCTCTAGGGGGCACAAATGAGGAAGTGGTAGTGCTGGCTGTGGTGACAGCCACTGTTGAAGCCGCCGAACTCGGACTGGCAGCTGGGGAACTTTGAGCACCTCTACGACCTTTACCACCACCATTTCTCAATTTACTATGAACTGAACTTCTTGTCTCAGTAAAATTGCTAAGGTCATTTCCAGGAGTTGTATTTGCTGCTGCTCGACCCCTTTTACCTCGACCCTTGGGTGTTCTAGCATCTAAATCACTTGTTGGAGAGTCACAAAATCGTGGCGGAGCCCAATCATGTCTTGTACAATCTAGTAATGTGCCCACATATGTTTTGCCTCTCCACGTTACATTTACAACTAGTACACCTGCAATGGAAAGAAAAATATTATTTACTTGTATTGAAATAATTATTATTGAACAAGTATAATTATCGAGCTACACAAAGGCATATAAATGTCTCAAGATTGACATTATTATTATTATTATTATTATTATTATTATTATTATTATTATTATTATTATTATTATTATTATTATTATTATTATAGAATAGAAGAAGAAAAACTATTTTAGCATTTTTTATCATGATGATGATTTATTGTGTGAATGTAAACTCTTCGTTCCGGGAAACGCGAAACCTTACAAGATTTTTTACCAATATTTTACCTAAATGTATTTTAAATATTTAGAATTCAAGGATGCTCTCTTTCTTTCCAAGGACTATTAGTTAGTCTAAATTAACGAAAAGTTAGTGTGTGCGATTGATTCAAAACAAGAGTATATATACTGATGAAATGGCATAAAGGGGTTGATTGTATGTTTGAATCAGCTGTATCCAATCAACGACTTGATTAATTGTCGCGCAAGGTTTGGAAAATTGAGCAAGTATTGATCATGTTCTACATAAAAAAAATTCGTCTTTTGACTAGGTTTTTAAATAGCAAAAATATTTTTAAAAAAACTTTGATAATAGTGATTAACTGGAATAATAATTAGATGTGCAATAAATGAAAACTACCTAAATTCTTAAAATATTAAAACTAGGGTGAGAAATACAAACAGAATTTCCAAGTTTGACCACCAATAACTTATGTTTTCTTTTAAAATCGTAATACTTTTGAATTAAAAGTGCAACCTATTAAATGATGATATACTATGATGAAAGTATAGTAAAAGTTACCAGAAAAAAGCTTTACCAGAAATGTTTTACACACACACACACACACACACACACACACACAAAAGTGCATAGTAAAAAGAAAGGCAAGACAGAAAAAAAATCGTCTAAAATTAAGAAACAAAATTTTTAATACAGCCAATGCTAAATTTACGTAATGAAATTTGGAGAATTTAAAGCAGAGATAATAGTGCTAATTTTAAGATTGATCTTAAATTATATAAGATTTTCTTTTTATTATATAACAAATTCATGTTTAAAAAAAAAATGATTTTGGAGTTGTTGAAGGCAAATATTAAAATATTTTTGTAAATAATTAAAAAAAAGTATTTTAAATTCAAACAGTCTAATGTTGTTCAAGTTGACAACATTTTTGCGCAATCAACGTTTATATTTATATTTATAATTAATTAAATTTGTAAAGTGAAAAAGTGTTTTTTTCAATTATTTATGCAACATGAAAAGAATATTTAAAAGTTTTAAGATTAATGTTCTATAGAAATAAAATCTTTTATTAACCCCCCTCAAGTTGGAACATCAAAACGCTCAGTGTCGAAAACTATAATTTGAGATTTTCAAAGGTAAAAATGTCACTATAATTTCATCTCTTTCACGCACTTACTGAGGGAGTTAAGAAATAAATTTTCCAGAGTACTTTTTTAACGTAAAATGTTTAAAAAAAATGTTTTTTTCTTTTCAGTATTGTGAAAAAGTATTTTTCGACGTTTAGCGTCGATGCCAACTTTTCAGGGGCCTTGAAATTGACTGTTTGAAGCTTTTCTTTTAAGGAATGCCACACTTATTATATATATCTATTCAAATTTTCCGGAAAAACCATAAAATTTTGAAAATGTTTTTTTCTTATGTGAATTCCTATACAATCTTTAGTTGTCAACAATTTTATGCCTCGATATTTATTCGAGTTTAATATTACCTCCTTCAGTTTCGTGCCAAACGATTCCTTCAAGAGTTACGGATGTTCCAGGTTCACAAGGTCCTAGGCACTCAGGTTCCGTAATAGTCCCCACACTTGTTCCTACGCACACGTCAGACACATCCTGTAACAAAATAAAAATAAATTAATGTACATGCGAGTTTCTTAACAGGAGATTAAACATTTTTATGGCATTTCTCCGCAAACAAGTTTTTTATAAGAAACATTAATTTTGTGAATGTAGGAAATGTATTTAGGGAATGTTTTCAGTTGACAAAATTTGTTCTTTTCTACATCTACAATGTAGTGAATGACCAAAGTAAATGTTGACAAGAAGAAAATCAATATTTTTCTACAATAGGTGTTAAATTGCGTTTCTATGTGCAGTAAATAATCTGGATAGACGAGAAGCAGAAATTTGTCAACTTTAATAGAAAGAAACATTGACATTTTTTCTGTGTATTTTCATCGCAGTGAAAAACTGATCAGATAGCTTTGCTGTCGATGGGGCCAATTGTTTTGAAATACTAATAGAGCATCAACTCAGGGTTGACTCTATACATTACCTATAAGACAAAACTTGTTGACCGAAATGCTTATTGCGCGCGATTCGACTGAAATGACAAATTGCTGGGCCAAATTTATAAACATTAATTAAAACAATTAGTCCCGCTCTTTAAGGTAGTGCAAAATATTTAATAGAGAATGTATTTTACTTAAAGATTATATTTTTATAAATTAAATTTTTAATTGAAAATATAGTTGCAATTTTTCCAACAAGTATTATATTGTTATAAAACAAAATTTTAATTCAATGATGGTGTCAAAGTTTATAAAAATTCTATAATAATATAGTTATACCTATAACGTTTAATTCAAGTCTATAGATGTAAAATTATCAAAAGCTGAAGAAAAAATGTAAAAACTTGGTGAAAATTAAACAGAAATGATTAAGCGTAAGGCTTAATTGTGTTTTAGAATCCATGTTAGCAAATTAAATCACCATAAAAGTTATTTATCAACATTTTTGTTTTTTTTTTGTAAAATACCATGTAGCATCTGAAGGTAGAGAAAAGTGAGAGGTGTGTGCTGAATTTAAGATAGTGTTAGTTTGCGTTACCCTCGAGGGCGGAGACCGCAGAGTATTGATTTCACCCCCGACCTCCGCTACCACGGTCGTATCCTACCAGCCGTTTCAACCTCTCTCGTCCGTGCTCACCGGTCAAATATTGCATACATACATACATACATACATACATATCAACACCAATCTGGTGGTCCAGCTCGAAATTTTTTCAGTGATGCGTACAAGTGTAAAAATGCAAGGTAAAAAAGTCCATTGAAAAAGAAATTGCTTTTCAGAAAAATGTAATAAATTATCAAGAGCCATTATGTATTCAATAGATTAATCATCATTGTTTAAAAAGACTTTTTATCAATATTTGCAAAATAAAGTCAAACGAAAATGATGGTAATAATTTTCAAAAGAAGAGAAAAAATTAACATTTTCTTTCTAAACGAATCAATCGCGCTGATTGTCAAGTATGCAACTGACAACGCTCTGATAATAACCAAGTTTAACTTTTTTCTTCTTATTTCTGGAGACGGACGATTCTCATAAACTTGCTGCACATAACATATTTAAAATTTTTCGAAAATCTTGCAACATTTTTTTTGAAATCATACGAACATTGATTAAATGCTTATAGTTGATATTATTATTATTGAAATATATGTTCAAGTACATATAGGAGAATGGAAAATACACGGAAAAAATAAGTTCAGCAGATTTTACGAAACTAATTTCGCACTAGCGGATATTTAAGATTCCTAGACGAAGTTTTTCAAAAACCCAGAAACTTTCACTACTTTAAGCAGAACAATTGTCGAGAAACTGCAACCAGTGTTGTAATTTATAAAACAAGCTTGAATGTAGAAATGTTTCGTATTTTCTGGTGAACATTTTATCAGAAAATGGTAAAAATGTTTCGTGCAATCTAAAAACGCGTGGTTTGAGTTTCCACTTCGCTGTCTATCGTGAATTCTCGAACACAAAGTTTCGTAAAATTCTATACGGGGTGTACCAAAAGTCGCGTTATAAATAGATATGTTGAAGCTTGTCTCGTCGCGTCGGTATTAACTTGTCTGCTGTATATAGATATAATATGTGGAAGGAAAAAGAGAACTGCTTTACCTGCCGGTAACATTTGGATAATTGTTTTCTTTTACGTATTTCACATTTCATTGTTCCAAATTCGTAACATTTTTTATGTGCTTTTGTAATCCAAACTTTTAATTATTATTAATTTCTTTTAATTTACAGTCCAATAAATTTTATAGTTTATCATAATATTTACCGATGACAATATATATATTAATTTCTCAAGTTTTAACTGTTATTACTTCAAATTTTAGACAATTTAATATAAACATTTTTTGAGTTTGAATTTAATTTTGAAAATTTTTTGTCAATTTATTTATAATTTAAAATTAAGAATAAAATTATTTTCTAAAAATTGAAAAATTTTATAGAGATTTTATAACTAATTATAATCAAAAAATGTTATTTTAAAAACCATAAAATATTTTGTATAACTTTTAAAAAAATGATTTTTTTAAAAATTAATATTCAGTATATTGACATTTCTCACAAGCGCAGTTTTAATCTCCTCAGTTAGTATATAAAGAAACTCAATTCTTTCATCTACAAGTGCGAGTTATATTGTATGTGCGTTGCGTCAGAATTCGTTTATATGTATGCGTATTTCCGTTAAGTTAGTGTCAGAATAAAATAAGCCAATCCAAGCGAACCATTGCGTTGTAGAGTGCAGTCACATGTGTCGAACCAATCATCTATCTCCTATAGAAGACGAGAAAAAATGGTCTTGAGAGCTCATTGGTACATTAAGAAATTCTTTTTTCTGCTTTATTCGTTTTTTTCTCCGTGAATATTTTTTTCCGTGGCGCATGCGCTTCAGGCTAAACATTTTACAAAACTCTTGAATTAGAACGTCCAACCGATCATTTGTGAATTCCATAGAATTTTTTTTGAGTTTTCGAGAAACGCAGTCATCATATATTACTATTGATTCTGTTTTATCTTATACTAAACTCCTCTCCGTATCCGCTATTCCAAAATTAGTTTCGTAAAATGTACTAAATTAATTTTTTCCGTGTATATAAAAAAAAGTAATAATCATAATAAACGTTGAATCAGTATTTCTTGACAAACATTTTTTATTTTGATTGTCTAAACTTTCATCGTAATTATTCAAATAATTTTATGCGATTAAAATATGTATTTTTACTTTTTTATGTAGACAACAAATTTTAATAAAAATGGAAATTGTTATTCCTTAAAAAGTAAATATTTATATCACATTGAATGATGTGCCCTCCATGTTGAAACAAAAATTTAAAAAGGAAACGCAAGTAAAAACTATCCATCTCATTTCTGAGAAAAAAGAAAGTGTTTTCAGGGTGGTCACAAGTTTCAGTTTATCAATTTCCCTGACAATTTACTGACATAAAAATCACTTTCCCTGACAAAATTCTTTTTATATGAAAAAGTCTCCAATTTCTTAATTTCCTGCCAAAAAATTTTTTCCTGACATTTCCCTGACTTTACTGACAAAAAATTTGTTTTCCCTGACATTTCCCTGACTTTACTGACATGTGGCCACCCTGGTTTTGAAAAAAATGTTTATATTATTTTACCATTTTAGCTTTAGAAGCAAAAGATAAAAAATGGTTCGGTTTTGACCGTTCCCAAGTACAGTCCTCAAGCATCAATTTAAGTGAGGATTCACCTCACAATGACTATGGTTCTCTAAATTTGACCTTCTTTGTTTGTTTTAAAGTATCTAAATTCAAGTATTCGGAAAAAATGATTATAAACAGACTTTTTGAACTTTAATAAACTTATATCTGCAGTACCTAGAATAAATATTAATTCACATCTTTACCTCCCGACACGTGTTCATCCGTTCATCGTTTTAAATGCTCAAAATTAAATTCTTCGCACTTCCACCTAAACGAATTTAAAATTTAATTTGTCTTTTAAATTATGACATTGGGCCAACTTTTGTTTTGACTGTACGTCAGATTTTTTCTTAATCATTAGAAAAAAAAATTTTCATTTTCATTTAGATTCTACGCTTTCTACATTTCTAACTGTGCGAAATCTCACTGATTTCATGAACAAAAAGTTTTGAACGTTCAAATGAACAAAATATTTTTTGTTAAAAATAGTTTCATAGATTATTGATTACAATTCAAATTAAAAACTCAAATTTTACATTTAGAAACATTATAATTAATTTGCTTAATAGTGACGCAAAATTATAGTAATAAAAATTTAATTTGTAGAAAAAATAAATAAATTTCGTTCATTTGAACGTTCAAAACTTTAACCTCCTCTGATTTCCAGCTATTCCAGCCAATTTCACTAATCTCTCAGCGAATGTACGCCAATTGAAATCGCAGTGAAAATTTCACTGATTGGTGGCACAGAGTAAAAACCATTGATTGTCAGTGTAATTCCACTGATTCATCAAAGAAAACTGTGCGCCACTGAATTGAAATCAGTGAAATTTTCTCTGATTCAGATTTAGAGTGTGTACTTGACGCTGATTCGAGTGTAACAGGAAAAGAACGCTCTTGTTTAATAATAACAAAATGCAAATTTCTCGATTCACAAAAAGAAGACTAAAACTTGAGAAAACGTACACATGAAATGTGTCAGTAGAGAATCTCTCTAAATAAATATACCTCTAATTTCAATTAATATAGGCTGTGAATTGGTGAAATTTCGCTGATTAATTAGTGCATATTTAAAAATGAATGATATATGCTTATAGCTTGGAATTGGTGAAACTTGCCTAAATCAGATTTAGAGAGTATAAGAATTATATTTATTTCCACAGACGCCAATGTGAGTGCATCAAGTTTGTCCGAGAAAGGCATCGTGGCACACTACAGTGTTGATATTATGTTATTTGGGGGCCCCGTTCATAAATAACGTAATTTATGAATGGCTCATGATACAACTTTAACAATCATTAAGAGGGTAAAAAATTACACACCTTGAGTTCAGACTTAGAGCATGTCTTAAGTTTTTTGGCAGGTGGTGGACTAGCTGAGCTATCCATAGATTCATCCGCAAGGGTGCAAATCGAATGTGGTCCAGGTACTGAAGCTACTTTAGTTTGTTCAGGTTTTGCAGCGGATCCTGCCGCAGCCGTAGCACTAGCCGGACTCGCGGGTGGTGCACCAACAACGGTTGACGTTGTGCTAGGTCCTCCCTGGTTACTACCCGAAAAACCTCCCGTTCTCGAACTTGGCGGTGGACCTTGGGGTTGCTGCTGCTGAGGGGCAATCGCTGCAGGAGTAGGCCCTTGAGTTTGACTATTAGCACTTCCAGCAACTGCAGCAACTGCTGACGACAAAGTCGAAGGTGATAAAGAACACGACGTGGTATTGATGGCGTTGTTACTTGACGACGTAACAGATGGAGTACATGAGGAAGCTAAAGAGGAAGATGCAGATGTTACCGAACAAGTGGTATTTGTGGATGTCACTGAGGTAGTAACGCAAGAAGAGATGGAGGACGTGTGATTCTGAGGAGATCTAGTCGTACCATTCATTTCAGGTTTACTCGTGACATGATTACTCTTTTCGTGCTTGTCTCTTGTTTTATCCCTACGATGTCCACTAGAACCTCGTTTCGATCCCGGCGTGGAGTTACTATTATTACCAGTCGCCGACGTTGATCCTGGAGGGTGGTTCGACTTGATTTTGCTGGACACTGATTGAACATCAGTTGAATTTTGGGCGGAAGAAGCATTATTGGACGTTGAAGATGTCGAAGAAGATGAGGAGTTGGAATTTGAGGAAATACTTCCATCTTGTACAATACCATTCATTTCGTTGGATTTGACAATTTCGTGTTTAGCCTCGCTAGTCTTGGTCCCGGGTTTAGTACGTTTGATTTTCATTTTGAGGCCCTTATCAACAGTGGCTGAATGTTCAACAGCCATCTTGCCGGAAAGCCCGGCGTTAGTACTGTTATTGTTGTTGGAGCCACTTTCGCTACTAGTTGGGTGTTGTTTTGCTCCCATCAAAGATCGACTTGCACCATTACTATTTTCCAATGGCACTTGCACTACTGGGCAAGTACCAACGTCGACGCAGGAGGAAGAATTGAGACTGCTTGTGTTTTGGTGGCTCGTGGTATTTGCCGAGGCAGGCGTAGAAGCCATGCCGGTCCCCGAACTCAATTTCTCGTCTCTCGTCTTCTCAATGTCTGCATCCAGATCGATTATAAGATCTCCTATTCCAATATCCCATTCATTGTCGTCGTACTCAAAGTTGTTGGTCGCATTCGTGGCGGCCGGATCCAGTTCCCCGGCGTTCGCAGCCACTGTGCTTGTTTTCTGGTCCCCTCTTTGCTGCTGCTGCTGCGGCGGCGGTTGACGGTGAACCGTCTTTTCACGAGATTGATGATGATGATGATGATGGTGATGATGGTGATGATGATGATGTTGATGGTGATAATCTTTACCTCCAGTACGCTCCTGTTTTCGTTGATTATTAATACCGCCACCACCGACACACGGTGACGGTCCTTTACGGTTTACGTTAGGGAGGCGACCGCCTAGTGGCGTGGTCGCCATGCCCTTGGAAACGTTTCCCCGGCACCCGCCAGCCTGGTCAACGATCGCCCAGCCTCTTTACTCGTCAATCTCAAATTGCACCAACTAGTGCCTTGGTTAGTAGCTCTTTTACTCCAACCACCTCCCGCAAGAGCCACGTCTTCCATCGAACACATTACTTCCCGGCTACTCTATTTAATCTAGCTTGATATACAACCGTCGTGTCCTTTACCGTCTTTTGTTTTTCTTTTTTGTTTCCTACTCTTATTTTTTCCTATTATTTTCTTTTAATTCTGCTTATCGTTGTTTTGCAGATTATATATCGAAATGTGATTTTTTATTTTCTTGTTTTTCATTTTATTAGTCCTTTTCTTTATCAAAACCTTGTAGAATGTTTCAAACAAAAAAACATTTGTCTCCAACACCAAACACTCCAACGGTTAAATCTGAAAGCATAATGATAGTAATTGTTATTTCATTAGAAAACAAATTTGCTTTTGTAAATAATAATAATATCATTGGGTATCTTGACAAATTTTAAAAATCTACTTTGAGAAATTAATATAAAATACAGTCAACTCGATCTCACTAAGACAAACTCAAAGGGTGGAATGAAAACTTTGAGTTATCAAATGTTTATATAATGCTTATAGGGAATGACTGGGACCCAAAAATAACTTTGCCTTGTCGCGCTTTGCGTCTTATTGAGAGTTGACTGTACTTTGTAATTTGTTTGTGTTCTCTTATAGTGAGAATAAGCATTTGACATTTTAATCAAAAATATCGCTTTTAAATAATTTTACAGTAAAGGTGTTCTTGACTAACATAACATTTAAAATTAATTAAACCCAAAACAGGAATCGAATATTTTCAGTTGATCGAAAAACAAAAATGCACTGAAAGAAATTTACTTGTAGAAAATGATAAATCTTGTGTCATATTTTAATATACTATTCTCCAATTTAGGGAAAAGTGTCTCTTTTTTAAAATGCGGTAAAGACTTTACCAATTTTTATAATGTAGCTTTTTGGTTTTTAATATATTTATACTAAACATTCGGAATGACGCAGAAAAAATTTCGGGGTCCTTCGTGCGTTTCCGTTAATTATCGAATATTGGGAAGTTATACTAGAGAATCTGAGGGGGAATAGAAGAACTCATACATATATTACACATATAAACACTCATACACATATTGAATATACATTGACAAACACGCGCAAACCTAACTCGCTATAACTAATACTACTACGCAACTGTATACGAATATCAACGAACTTCTCTAAAAGCATACCTCTCCATTTTTTTATATGAACTATCGAAATTTACACCACTTGTGGAAAGCAATTTACCTCAAATATCTTTATAACCAAAATCTCCTGAGATATGAAAACCTATATAAATGGTATAATTTCATATGGGTCAATTACTGAGTCGCTGTAGAAATTCTTTTGTCAAGAGGTGTTCAAGTAAAATACATAAATGGAATCAAATGGAATAATACACTTTTGACAGCAGCTCGCGCGAAGCATGAAGGTTATACAAGGCAACTTCGGTTCAACTCGGAAGTGATCGGGGAAGTCCGCCATACTTTTCGTACTGTTACGAAATACTGTTACGCCATACTGTTAGTAATTTCTATAAGAGAAGATGAATATAACTAATAATTTTTGGCATTCTGTATACTTTCATATTCAAATACTCATTTTTTAAAATAAATATACTAATTTTTATTCTTTAAATATTGTACAATGATAAATTCATAATATATTTTCTTAAATACTGAAATAATAATTCAAAAACTGACACATTTTCCCTAAATTGATAAATTTTATTTTAAATGTTCATATTATTATGAAGATATCAAATAATACTATGTTTTTCTTTCAGTGTGTTTATTAGATAACAAAAATCAAAAAATTATAATCATCGAAAAGTTTAATTGAAAGATTGATTATCCATTTGACACAAAAGTACCGCAAGAGTTTGAGCTTTTATTTAAGCAAATTTCCATATCGATAAAAAACTACAATTTTTTTTGTTTTGGAAATTAAATGAAATAAAAATTTAAACATTTTCTGTCAAATCTCCATTATTTTCAATCTTTTAAGAAAAGAATCTGACGGACAGTCAAAATAAAAGTTGGTCCAATGTCATAATTTCGTAATTTAAAAGACAAATTTGTTTTGGTTAAAAGGCAAAGAATTTAATTTTGAACATTTAAAATGATTGAAAGTTGCATTTGAATAAAAATTACAATTTTCTGCCAATAAGAACACACTAAAAAAAAAGTTTTACTTTCAGCCTCTTTTTGAGGCTGAATTTAAGATGTAAACGGAGTCAGCCCCGTTAAACAAGGACAGACTTATGTGAAATACATGGGCTGAATTTAAGGTGTAAACGGAGTCAGACTTTTTTTTTCTGTGAAACATTTGTTAAATTTTAGATTATATTACTTGAATCATTTATTATTGACAAACAATTATAATTTTTTATTTAAATATATAACTTTCAATCGTTTTAAATCGTCAAAATTAAATTTTTCGCACTTCCACCAAAACAAATTTAAAATTTGTCTTTTAAAATACGAAATTATAACATTGAACCAACTTTTGTTCCGATTGTTTGTCTGATTTTTCTTTAACTTTTCAATGACATTAACTATGACATTCTAATATTCGATATTTTGAGTTTTGGGAAAAATTTATGCTCCTCTGCGGACAAAAAAATTGTCTATTCTAGTTCATTCAATTGCTATAATATGGATAGCAATTATTGTTGGCTAATAATTACGTCTCCCAACTAATTTTTTTTCTGCATCAGTGTAAACTTGCTCCTGAGAGATTGTAAGTTAAAATAATAAGGATTATCAGTTGAAATAAAAATAGTCGTAAAAAATTAAGTTTGGTTCACAATGTCTGAGCTAAAGTAATGAAACAAAATATTTTGTGTAACACCTGCAAGAAAAGTGCTACTTTACTTTAATGTAAATGCAGCAGAAAGTTGTAAATTCCTGTACTTTGAAAAGTGTGCAAGAAAGTATACTTTCCCGCACACTTTTCTGCAAAGCATAGTATACTATGTACACTATAGTATATTGATGTACTATAACTGTTTCAAATGGTGTTTTTTTTATACACAGGTGTTACACAATGCACAGGGTGCACCTCGTACGAAAGAAGCTTTTCTTACGAGTTTGATTACTCGTTTCACTCGATCAGCAAACTTCAAACTCATCGGAAAACAGCTTCTTTCTGTACTTGGTGCACAATGTACTATTATAGTGTTGTAAAAGTATAAAACACGTCGGTGAAGTTTGCAACGTTTATGATCAACGATTGAAAGGAAAAAATTATTTTTTTACCAAAATGAATAAAATTTTTTGTTTACAAATATTTCTTTTTGTAAATTATTATTAAAAAAACTAACCAAAATATTTTCTATAGAAAAATGAATTAAAATTTGTTAAAAAAAATATTATTCCTTTTAAATCGTTGATTAAAAACGTTGTAAACTTCACCAACGTTATAAAACTATGTAGATTGCTTTCATCAATAGACAAAGAGAAAAGATTTTTCAAGTTGTTTTTTTGTTTTTCTGAACGCAACTTCAAACTGTTTAAAAAGTGAAATTTAATAACAAATAGAAAAGAGAAAAATCCTCAAAATTAGAAAGGAAAACTGTAGTTCCCATATGTAAGAGGAAAAAATGCTGCAAAAAGAAGAGAAATCCTCCAAAAATGAAAAACATTTTTTTTTCGGTGAACTTGGTGGAATAAAATTCAATACGGATATTAACTGGTGCACGACTTTATATTGTGTAACTGATTTAAACAATGTGTATTATAATTTATAAGTTGAGGATAACACAAAGATAAAAAGTTGTTTAATTTCTGTTGTGGATAATTTATGTGCATTTCATCAGCGTATATCCGCTGATTCAATCAACTACAAACTTATAGCTGCGAATCAGAGACGTTTCTTTGATTCAAATTATAACTAAATAAACCACCACCTTGACCAGTGTTTCTAAATACACAGAAAAATCTCTGCAGGAATCAAGACGTCATAAACCAAAATGGTTGTTGACAGCGGGAGAAGATTTGGGGTATTAAATCGTCATTGGCTTCCATTTTAAAACCTGCGTAATCGCAGTTCTAGTTTAGCACTTTCTTTCGACAATGGCATTTTATTTAATATTTATTTATTATTATATTATATTACTATTATTATTATTTTATATTCTAAAAAAAGGCATGAGTGAGAAATCTCGAATTTAAATCAGCCATATTAAATTTCTAAAAGTTGATTCAAGATTGGAAATTAGCAATAGCAAGAATATTTCAGTAATTAATAACAGACCATATTGGGATCTGAAATCACGTGAAACTGACCCACCCCTTAGCCTTTTTGTGGCAACCATCTTGGATTTTATCTTTTTCTTGAACGTATATCAGAAAGAGACGAAACGAAAGATGGCTACCACAACAAGGCTCTCACTAGATGGCGTATCGTAGTATTTCAGATCCCAATACTTGGGGCCAATTTCACCAATTTTGATTAATAATTAATCAAAGATTAAAGCCGCTATAACTGCATTCACTATTGGCCAGTTAAGGATTTAATCATTGATTAACTGTTAATAATCAGAGTTGGTGAAATTAGCCCTTAAAAATTTTAATCTTCCTCTCATTCGGCCAAGCATGGCAAAATTCAAATTGCTCCAACTAGGCGAAAAAAAAATCAGATCGAAATAAAAAAATGTATTTGTGTATTGTGAAAGTTAAACCAAAACTCAAAGTTGTACTTTGTTTGCTTTATACACTGTAAAAAATAAAAAAATGTTATAACTTGAATTTGTAAAATTACATAGAAAAATTTCTGTAATTTCACAACTTTCAGTTTAACGATAATACACTTCTTGAGGTTAGAAGTAAAACTGAATTTGTAACTTTACAACATTCATAGTGGGAAGTATACATGGCGCTGTAGTAATACAGAATTCAATTGCTACACTGAAAAAAAAGTGCTGTTGAATCAAATATCTCCATGCTATTGAATTCCCCGTCATTGATTCAATGACACATTTATTAATCGAAAAGTATATTGCTTAAAATGAAAAAATGAAACTGTTTAAATTAAAAGTACGGTACTGTAGAATTAATGATATTGTGCAAATTGTTTCTATAGTTCATCTATATATAGCAACAGAATAATTTATTGCTTCTTTGACATTATTCATTTGAAGCATCTAATAGGTAAATTTGAAGAAAATGCGTGTAAATTTAAATCAAATGAAAAACTGTTTGCTCTAAAGAAGCGCGCTCTGAAAACGAAAGCATATGCTTTCGTTTCAATGAGTGGTGCTATTGCGGACTGCCTATAGCATATGCTATAAAATTAAGAACACTATGTTTTGAGACATTGACAGGTACTAAATTTATTGA